AGAGAGAGAGAGAGAGAGAGAGAGAGAGAGAGAGAGAGAGAGAGAGAGAAAGAGAGAGAGAGAAAGAGAGGCACCTTTATAGCTACATTTCCTCAACAGGGCACCTATGATTTGTCGAGTAGAGTCATCAGGCTCGACCAGCAGCACTCTAAGACAGCCACGAGGAAGGAAGCTCTCCCAATTTATCCCCGTTTCCTTCTCCACATTCAATTCCTCCCCTTTCACCTCTTCACCCATCGAAAACCAACGAACAAACTCCCCAAAAACCAGAAGCCCACACCAAGAACAACAAGAAGCAAAACAAAAACCCAAGTCTTCTTCCCCTTCTCTAAACCCAAATCCCCTTCTTCCCAAACACAGCGAGACTTTCGAAAAGCAAAGGAACCAGACCAGAAAACCCGACCAAAAAGATCTGAAGAAAAATCAATTCCCTTCTATTCCTCAAAATAGAAGAAAACCCAAACCTCTTTCAAGACAAAAAAATGAGAGGTAAAATAGAGAGAGAAAGAGTTAAGAATTAAGAGAGAGAAAGACAGAGACGGCATCCACAAGTGGAACTGCCTCAGTAACGCCAGACAAAGAGGGGTTAGATAAAGAGAGGGAGAGAGTCAAATAACCAGGTTAGAGAGAGAAAGAGAGTTGTTAGAGAGAGAGAGAGAGAGTTGTTAGAGAGAGAGAGGACAGATTGTTAGAGAGGTTGTTAGAGAGAGAGAGAGAGGGGGAGAGAGAAGATAGATTTTTTTAGAGAGAGAAAGAGAAAGAGAAAGAGATAGAGAAAGGGTTTGGGTGTTACCGGTTCAAGCGGTGGCGTAACCGCCACAAGAATCGATCTCGCTTGCCAACGTAGAGGCCGCCTCTGCCTTGCAAAATATCTCCCCCTCTGATGCCACGTCAGCAAACCCCTTCGATCAAAAGGAGGCTTCTCATTGGTCCACTCTGTTCCCACTGCTGACGTGGCACACTGGTGATCACCGGTTCAGATATTTCATCGGGGCGACGCCGGAGAGCCCATGGCCGAAACCGAAGGTCCTAGATCCACACTGCATCACCGTCGCCTTTGACGCGTGTAGGGTTGATATTTCCGTTTGCTTTGGATATTTTGTGCCAGCCTATCGTCCTAGGTCGACACGTGGATGGACGAGTTTTGCAGAGAGCGTCCGGCCCAGGATTAGCCACGTTTCGAGCCAAGTGGTGCACAGAGGGCACGATGAGTCGACACGTGGCCAGGAAGGAGAGATTTTTTAGAGGGGTGCCGACGTGGCATTTTGATGACGTGGCAGGTATTGTGCGCCAATCATGCTGGGGCTTGTCGTCTTGTGGATTGTGGGGAGCAGATCTTTTGGTGCCGCATGGCCTTTTACTTTACTGACAATGCCCTGCATGCACCTGTTTGTTTTGACTTTCGAATTTTTGAGGGGTTTCCAAATATAATAAAGAAAAGGAAAAATTTATATAAAGTTGCGGCCTAAACAATCAAATTAAAGTGCACCTAAAAAATCTAAAAAAATTTACATAAATATTTATTTTATTTTATGCTATCATCAAAATATCGAAAAAAAATTGTTATTACATAAATGTTTGTTTCTTCCACCTTGTAACATTTTTTTTAAAAAAAGTCCGAACCGGCCAAATTCAATTTTTCAAAAATTGAAATGGGCGAATTAGGCTCATCCATTTAATTGCTTTGGACCTTGCTCTTTCACCACGAACTTTTGGGACTTCAAAAATCTTAAATCAATCATCTTGATCTCAAGATATATGAATATGAGAAAAAATGAAATCTAAATCTTGGAAAGAGTTCACTTTGCAATGTATTTTTGAACCGACAATTTTTTAGATTTTTCAAGTGTTTATAGATTTGCTCGTTGCACAATATTTTTGAAGCTTTAAACTTTAAAACTAGGTATGAAAATATTTAGATTTTTCAAATGTTCATAGATTTACTTGATGTACAGTATTTTTTAAGCTTTAAACTTTATAACTAGACATGAAAATAAAGTTTCAAGCCATCACAAAGATTTCTAATACGAAAAAATATATTCTGATACTATTTAAAAGGTGCGCCTTACTTTGATTGTTTGGGGCCTCAGCCCTATACAAACCACACACTTTAGAAAAATAATATCGAAACCATTTGTAAGGACGTAAAGTGGTTGAATTCTTGATGTAAAATGATGTAGATAGAGGTGCACTATTGATCGGGTTCAATGTTTGCAAAAATACTAACTTTTTCGGTTTTTTCTTTTACTATAAGTAATTGGATTTATCAACTTTAGATTATAGAAGTAAAGTGAACCTCAAATATACTCCTAAAAACGTTGTTTCAACATCAGAAAACTCTACAATTGAACATCTTAACCTCGAGATATATGGATATAGAAAAGCAGAGATTTTGAAGGATTAAAAATAGTACATCTTGTAATATATTATGTAGATTGTCGGTTTACAAAATCTTTTAGTGTTTATAGACCTTCTTGATAGACCAAATTTAATGATGAAGTTGAAAATCTAATCTCTCCTAAGAGATAAATATAAACCTTCTATATGAATATACAACGTATCCAATCCGATATATTCAATAGGTGAAATTAATTTATCGGCGTTATTTATAAGGGAAATGTATCCAATACACTCAATTTTTCAATAATTTAGTAGTTCGCTTTTTTTCAACTATTCCAACTCATTGTCATGTGTATTTGATGGGTATTTAAAATACAATCAAATGGCATGGATAACATTTTAAGGGGAAAAATTAAGTAGTTAATGTCTTGTAAGAATTTTGATAAAGGAAAAGTTGTTTGTGACTCAGCCGAGCTTACCCACTGAACATCCATCTTAAGATGGACATTACTAAATAAATAGAGCAACAAATATTTTTTAGCTTTAAAATATTTTTTATATTTAAGATTTTCATTGTTAAGTCATGCATCTCTTAAAGATTTAGGGGGGGCCTAAATAGACATGTGAGTCCAGAGATTCATAAAAACCTTTTTTTTTTTTTTATGTCCCTACCCCTTTTCTTAAGTAGATTATGAGTTATATTTTTGAAGGTGTTAGTGGGATGGTGTTATTGATAGGAATGGAAACCATGACCCCCAACCCCTTTCCTAGAGTCATAGAAACCTAACATACATAAAATGTTATAACTTTTTAAAATTGGAAAAATTTTATGTGATTCACACAAAAGCGTGTTGACGTGTGGAACGTCCATCTTTAGGATAGACGTTTTGTAAAGTGCACCAAACCAAAATAACATACAAGAGTGTAAAAAAAATCCTAAAAAAAAAAGGTACATTTTTAGACTTTATTTTTTTTATTTTTTTACCATATTCATGATTACCTTGTTCTAGATTATCAATCCACAAAAATTTGAACAAAAAATCTATATATGGAGATGAATTTTGAAGAGCAGAGTCCTACGTATATATGAGTGGGCTGACTCATGGAAGCCCTAATGTCTCCTGATTTATAAATCATACTATCAACTTCATAGGAGCATGCAAGAATTGTGAGAAAGTGTATGGTTCACAGGTGTTCTTGGAAGCGACGGGTCAAAAGAAGTTTCGCCTCTAAAAGGAAAATTGTGAAGGCCAATGTTCAAAGTGGAAATGGAGGAAAGCAAAGGACTGGTGGATATTTTTGTGGTGGTTAATTGGGGAAGAGCGGGTTTCCTTTTCTCTACGATGGATATTCTTTCGACTTCAAAATATAGCAAATCGTGCTGGAGCCTTATCCTTCTCTCCCTCTTTGAGAAATAACAAGTACACCAACGGCTGTCTTGCAATATTGAAACATAACCTCATTTTTTAAAGGAAAAAATTTATATAGAGCCGAGGCTTTAACACTCAAATTAGAACCCACATCAAAATTTCGTTTGATACTCAAGTATCCTCAAATTGATTATCTCGACAACAAGATGCATGAATATGAAGAAAAAAAATGGATTTTAGCTTTTGGAAATAGTGCATCTTATAATGCGGTTTTAGACCGTCAATTTTCAAGTTTTCATAGATATGTTCGATATACACTATTTTTTAAACTTTAAATTTTATAATTAAAGATGAAAATATATTTTAAAGCTACCACAAAGATTTCTAATATTGAAATCACATTTCTCGATACTATTTGAAGGTGTGCTTTACTTTGATTGTTTAGAACCTCGACTCAATGCAAACCACACCTTTTTGTAAGTGACATGGTTTTGATGAGTCAGCTGACTCAACGAGCATATCTTGTCTACGTCCATCTCTAAGGTAGATATCAAGAAATGCTACATCTATTAAAAAGTTAAAATGGACGGTGGAAAAAGGATTCAAAGAATAGTATTTACATTCTTTGAAAACTAAAAATTTGGAATTTAGATCATTTCCATGGTTGAGACTACCGAACCCTGAAATTTTGGATCAAAAAATACATATTTGAGATGTTTTTTGGAGGGAGACAGCACAAGAATAGGTGACTCGACTGACTCACCAAAATACTTTTTTTTTTGTAAACCATGACGAATTGCCCAAGGTATCTCAAATGGATGTAGGGGTGGAAATGTGCCACGTGACCTAGCTTTGCCCGATCAGCTCAGCCCTAAAAAACTAGGTTTGGGCCACGAAATGTGGCTAGAGAGCTAGGCAAGGGCCGGGCAACTATGACCTGAGGGTAAGGTCTGGGCCCATCATGGGCCAAGGCCAGCCCAACACTTTTTTTCAATTTTAATTTTCCTTTTTTTTTTTTTCCCAATTTTATTTAGGCTAGGGGCAAGCATGGGGCTAAGGCCTGTTTAGCCTAGTCAGGGCGCCTTACTTTGATTGATCAAGGCTTTAGCCTTATACAAACTATACCCTATAAAAAAAATCTGCTAATTTCACCTTGGTAATTAGAAATATAGCAAAAAGGAAAATGATGATTTCATCTTGCAATTAGAGTTATTATGAATAGTAACTCAGTAGCATAGGAATAGCATGCTAAAGTGAAGTTCTTTTAAGAACGGTAACAAATGATATGGGATTGACCTCAAATTTTAAAATTAAGCTCTCTGAAGATATTTCTACCATCCCTTGGAGTTCCGGCTCTACCTGGTACAACTTTTAGGAATTGTTTTGGGTTGGAATCAACTCACTTTCCCATTAAACCTTAGTTATTGCCACTCCTAATAACATAATGGACTGACTGATTGTTGGGGATATATTGGGTTCCCTTTGATTAAATTTTAGCTTATCTTGGGGTGCATATATACATACGTCTTAATAGGGTTCGACTCGGCCCCTTATAAGCCAGCTAATCATTCAGTTTTTGTCGCAATCAATCGCCTACGTTTTATTAATAAGGTCCTCCACCACCAAATATGAGGATCTTCCAAAATTGGCCCGGGGGTATGATCTTTTAGGTGCTTTTGTACGATCTTCTGGTATTGCTAGTAGCTTTTCAGCATGGCTTCTCATCGGATTAAGCAACCCCTCATTTTCAAGGTTGGAGGGTTATTCTTGATCAGAAACCATCATCTTTTAAAGAGCTTTTCTGATAAAATGAAACTCAAAAGCCTACCAGATGTTTTAAGCATGTTTTTGGGATCGAGTTACCACATATGGTTGATTGAATGCCTTTATATATATATATAT